AAATGGCCTGACTTGAATGGGCGCCAGCGAAATGAGCATTTAGCCCCTTGGTTGCGCTGCAGGTTTGATTTGTCCAATAGCTGCAGAAGTCTGTTATCATCCCGACCTAAACTGGACAGTTCAGATCATCATGTCATGAGCCAGGGCTGCCGGCGCCGCCAGACCTTGGTCGGCTTAGGCAGATGGAGTCTCCAGGGTTCGCTGGGCGGAGGCGGCGGTCCCACGTCGACGTAGAGCTTGGCGCGCGTGGCCGTGCTGCCAGCGGCGTTCTGCGCCGTGCACTGGTACCAGGCGCTGTCCTCGGGCCGCACGCTGCGGGACAGGTGCGTCATACATCACATCAGCCGTTCTCACTTGGGGATGGACGTGGGTGGTGTCTAACGTTCGTCGCGCGTGGTGGCCGCAGTTGTACAGCTCATGTCAACCGCTGCAGCTTCAGTGAAACGCCGGCGCAGGCTTACGGCTTCAGTGGTGTGCGGATAAGGGATAGTGCTCCAGCTTGGCTCACTTTCCGAATAGGGTGGAAGAAGCACCGTCCCAAAAGTAAATTCCTGCGCTCCACGCCTCTAGCCCATCTTTCACGCCTATAACATCGCGGGAATACCTTACACCGCGCTGCTGTTGCAGTGGAGCCATGCATCCAACTCACCAGGGGATGTCGATCATGGAGGCGCCGCCGTCGGTGATGATATGCACGTTGGGGGACGGCTGCAGCGGCTGGCCGTCCTTCTGCCAGGTGATGCGCGGAGTAGGCGCGCCCACCGCGCGACAGCTGAGCGACACCGCTTCGCCGGGCCGCACGTGCACCGTCTGGAAGCGCTCCACGAACTTGGGCGCGATCACCTGCTCCTTCTCCAGCACGTTCAGGTTGATCTGGGGGGAGAGGCGCCCACGTCACCGCCCGCTCAGCGTCCTGTCGGTCGTGCTCGACTGCAGCGTATGCGTACGCGCCGACAACAAACTCAGCGCAAACACATTGCTCACTCTACCAATATAGACAATAGACTTCAGAAGACGCTGCACACTTCACCGGACTGGCATCAGGAGCCATGCACCCGCGCACGCACGGAACACTCCGTGTGCGGCGAGCCCGCCGCGCCGGCCGTCGCACCTGGTGGCTGGTCTCGCCGGACTTGTTCTTGGCCACGCAGGTGAGGACGCCCGAGTCGCGCTGGCTGGCGCTGGTGATCATCAGCGCGTGGTTGCCCGCCTCGTTCACCAGCATCTTGTGCGTGGCGTCGTTGGCCAGCGGCATACCGTTGATGTACCACAGCACCTGGACCGCACAGCGACAACCGTTACGCCACCGGTGAACGACACCTGGACCGACCAAGGGCGCGCACCTCACCACGCGGAGGAACAGACGCCGAAACGGAAAGGCCAGATATTCTATTTTCATGGTGTAAGCCACCATCACAAGATTTTGCCATTTTGAGTCTTTTCATCTGCGTTATCATGCAGTAGAACATCATAAACATTGAACATTGCTCTGAATCACATGTCATGCTGTCCACCTCTTTTGCAGCATCTGTCTTCCTCATCTGTATTTTAGCTGTGTAGTGTAAAACGGCATGCCAGGTAGGTACCTATATCACGTCATCCCAAGTCAGTGGCTTATGGTGTGCATACTATTTATATTTTATTGCAACCTTAGATCTTCCGCCCAAAGTGACCCGACACAGTGGTTGCATAACTAAGCATTTTTCTTACGAAAGATAACCGCTACAATCTAGATGTTGCAGAATTGTTCAATTTTCCTTATTGATTACGTACCGCGCGTCTTTTGGTCGCACACGCAGTCTCCCCCGAAGTCGCCACTAGCGAAGTGCGATAAAGTCGGCCGCGCTTAGTTAACATGCCGCGAGATCAACGCCACATGAACTCGACGCTCTGTCCAAAGTCAGTCAAACCAAACGATGGGTCCACACCATCCGCACTTACATCCGGCGCTGGCTTTCCACCAGGCGACACTCCAGGCGGACCATCTTGCCCTCCTGGACCTCCTGTGTCTGAGGGGACCTTGAGGAAGCTGGGTGCCAGCGCTTTTGCCCTCACCAACCTCCCTCCACTTGTGTGACCGTACTGTGGGGTGGAAACATAGCATGTCACCTAGCGGAAGAGGCTACTCACTGAAGACTGCCTAGGTGTTAATTCTGAAAACGTGATAACAGTCCCCTTAATACCACTAAATACCGCCAAATGCCATTACTGCAAGAAACCGAGCCTATGCAAGGACCGAGCCTACCAGCTACAGAATCGAACATCGGTGACCTTAAACTATGAATTGCCTCCTATGCGATCAAAACTGAACCGCTTCTGGATCTGGCTCGATGTCCTGACCCCTGCCTAAGCTACCAGTTTGTTCCTGGACCCTGCCTAACCTGCGGTGGGGCCTGGGACCCTGCCTAACCTGCAGTCGGTCCCTAGACTCTGCCTAACTTACGATGGGTCTCTGAACCCCGTCTAACCTACGCCAGGCTCCCCAGCCGCGGGCGTGGGCCTGCGGCATCCCCCCACCCCCTGACTGACCGGTCCGCACGCTGCAGCATCTGCTGCTGCTGGGTAGTGGCAGAGGGCGTGGCGGGCTCCACGGCCAGGTAGGCGGAGCTGACGACGCAGCCGGCCGTGTTCTCAGCCAGCATGGTGTAATGAACCCGTATCCTGCGGCTTCACGTCCTTCAGCGCCAGCGTCACCACCGAGTCCTGCTGCGAGATGGCGGCGCGCGGGCTCGGCCGCACGCGCGCGCCGTTCTTGAACCAGGTGATCTTGGGCGCCGGGTTGCCGACCAGGCGCGCCACGAAGGTCGCGTCGCCGCCCTCTGTGACCTTGCTGGCGCGCGGCTTGGCCTGCAGCTGCGGCGGGCTGACGGGGCCGGGCCGGCGGACCTCGGTCTGCGTCACCACGTCCGTCTCGCCGCGGTCGCGCCGGGGTCAGCGCCTCGCGGAACTCCGACTCGCGGATCAGACGGTACTCGAACGTGTCCACGCGGAACTCCTGCGGAGGCGAGCACGTCCGCGTCAGCTGATATCGGGGCGAACGCAATGAACGCAGGGCATGGCACGGGCTGGGAAACTATTGCCTATTGCATCGCTTAGTCCGTCTGGATGGCCGATGCAGCCGTATCGGAAACTTAACTGCGAAGAACTGCGCAAGGTTGGTATCGGAGCAATTCGCATCGAAACTAACTTGCGTAAAGTCGGATTCTTGGATTTCACTCCACTACGAGCTACGAACGATACAGGGAATTAACTAACATTCTATGATAACCCAGACCAGCAAGGCTGCTATCCCGCAGCTAAATGTGGTCAACAGTATGCGGAATTGTGCTTTCATGCCAAGGAAAAAGATGTGAACTTCGTGGATCTGAAGTGTGTTGTGAGCCCTTGGTGAAATGGCACACCGATTGCACGTAAATTGAAAATATATCGGTAACTGACCTTGATCAAGCTTTCAAAACATTTCGGTCGCTGAAAGCAAGCAACTTAATCACGCTCAAATCTTTTCGGTATCAAAAATAATTTACCTTTTGAATGCTGAACTGATAGAGGTCACCCACTCAAAATATTCAACCTTAAGTAATTCTACCAACACCATGTGAGAGGGAGCATAAGGTTATACAATAAATTCCATATTTCAACATCAGCTGTAGTCAGCGATCACAATGTTGCCCGTAATATTGTCCTGGCAAGAAACACTTCTATGCTATTTCCTGTAACTTTAATTTGCAGTTTGTCTACGAGGCTAAATTATTTACAACTGAAGAGCAAGTTGCTGCAAGGGGCATCATTTCAAGTTATGATGACACAATGATGCGCATTAGACCATGTAGCGTGTATCAAATTCAACCTGAAGAGGCACGTCCTCTGTCCATGTAGTAATGTGCTCATCCCATCTGGGCTACCCTTCGTTAAGAGCTAGCCTCTTTTTAAACTTTGTATAAATTTCTATCTATGGCACCTCACTCGGCAAATGGGTGCAAGGAGCGTGCCGAATGCAAACCTTATCACAATCATGGAGTGCCGTGTTTTCAGAAATGAGAGGCAGCAAGGCCTTGTACGAGAATGTGAATACGCAGTTATGATTCCAAGACTTGGCAGATTCCAAGACCAAGACACCTGCATGCTGTGGAGACATATCCAGAGAACACCAGCAAATGTTCGTAGGCCTCACATACTCTAGAATCACATTTGTATCCTTCTCGCACCACCATCCAATCAGCACCAACCACATGTGTTCCACCCCGAGACTGCAGCGATCCCGTCCTCACCCTCGCCCCCACCCCCCCCCTCCGCCTGTCTCGGTCCCCGGGCCTGAGGCCGTCTGCAGTCGCCCCGGTCTGCTCACCTCCACAGCTCCGAACGGCGTGGTTTTGTACTGGCGGTCCGTCTTGGTGGTGGTGGTGGTGTGCCCCGAGGCGTCCGTCATCGAGGTGGTTTCCTGGCGCATCTGCATGCTGTGCTGCTGGCCCATCATGCGGTGCTGGCCACCCGGCAGCTGCCGCTGCAGCTGTCCCTGCTGCTGCAGCTGCACCTGTCCCTGCTGCTGCTGCAACCTGTCCCTGCTGCTGCTGCTGCTGCAGGAATGCCGCTGGTGGGGGGCGGACCGGGCGGTTAGGGAGCAGAGTTAGAGTCTCCGACTGAAAGCCGCATAACGATAGCATGCAACGTCCATTCACAGAAGGCACACAACAACGATACGTATCTGAAACTTAACCAGGATTCGCAGTCAACTTTACAATGTTCCAGAGTATAATTATCAGTGAGACCTGCCCCTGTGAAAGCGTATGACGCTTGTTCCAACTTGTCGTTCTTC